CCGTAAAGACTTTTGTTTTCTTGTGTTTTTCTTTTTTTGATAATGACTGCTAATAAGTATGGTTGAAATCGCATGCGGTATTTTGGCCACGTGACCAGTTGCACGTGAAAAGACACTTTTGCCACTATAGTGCTGTGCACATGATTTTGATCGATTCACCTGCACAAAACGGGTGTTATCCGCGGACAATACGTGGCCATTACTGTTTAAATACACAATAAGGGCCCACAATGATAACTGGTCAAAATGTTAAAATTTTAGAATTGTGACGTTTTTAATTTGGTTCAGTATAAATACAAACCCAGCTTTCCAGTCCAAGATAACAGGCCTTAATGTTTAAATTTTTACCAACTAGCCGTATGGCTACATTGCCGTAAAAGGCGACTATGCTTGTTGTAAAAGGCAACTAACGGGATCGGGTATGGCTACAAGTATTTTTGTTCAGGTAGCCAGTGGTAAAATTAAGAAGTCAAGCCAATAGTGTAGGTAGCCAAAAGCATTTGAAATTATCTTTGATCAAATAACTATTATTGTATATCAGTGGAAACTGACTTCAGTTTTGTTATTTGTGACTCGAACAATGATGCAGTTTTAATGTTAGAAGATTATATAGGTATACCCTTTCTTATCTAATAAACTATCAACTAAAATAAAATACTAATTACAATTATATTTATGTATTTTGGTTCATTGTTGACTTTAGGAGGAATTATTTGCGAGTACAATTAGTAGCAAACATGTTTATTTTTGTGTCTAACTATGTGTAGCAATAGACTTTAGTTGCAACATGATATTGTTCAAGGTAGTCATTTGTCTACCTCTAAATTTTAGACAGTAGACAAATTGAAAATTAGGTCACATTAGCGACAGTTTTAGTCGCACCTTCGAGGCCTGGATAACATTGATCCAGAGTATCAACGTGGCACAAAAATATTTTGATAGCAAAGTTTTGTTTGTTTGTTTGTTTAATGCCACACTCAGCAATATTCCAGCTATATGACGGCGGTCTGTAAATAATCGAGTCTGGACCAGACAATCCAGTAATTGACATCATGAGAATCGATCCACGCAATTGGGATCGATGACATACACCAACCAAGTCAGCGAGCCTGACCACCCGATCCTGTTTGTCGCCTCTTACGACAAGCATAGTCGCCTTTTACGGCCAGTATGGGTTGCTGAAGGCCTTTTCTAACCTGGATCTACCAAATGATACCTAAAGTGCACATATTTAACCCCAAAGGTGAAACAAATTGTAATTTGCATGTGGTACCTTCAGAATCAGTAATTCTCAGCTAGTTTTAAATCGAATCTGTGATATCCTAGTTATTGTGCTGTCCTTCGTTGACAGCTTTTTATTTAGTCTAAATCTATGTATTATTACTGTACTTCTCGTCACGATATGGCTGAAATACTGCCGATGTGACGTTAAATCTTTAACTCACTCACTCACTCACTGACTCACTCAGAATCAGTAATGAGAATATTGCATATTTAAGTTTAAATATTTATGTACTACAAAAGTAGAAAAGCAACAAGTGTAAGGACAACACTAGCAATATGTTTTCAAAACAATGACTCTGAAACATTTGTTATAGATTTCAAGGAACAATGGGTATTAAGGAATAGCCACAGTCTTGTGATATCATTCCATCATGAAGGGGCACGGGTGGCCCAGTCCTCTAAGGCGTCGCAATTCGCTGTGCAGAGTTGCGTCCCTTGGGCACGCCAGAAACCTATGATTGTAGGTTCGAACCCCGGTTCGCCTCGATTATGTTTATAACTTGGTCAGCACCATACCCGTGCTCGCGGGTTTCACCCAAGTGGCAAACGTCAGAGACCTACATCACTTCGGGCTTTCCTCCCACATTAAGCTGACACGCCGTGATATAACTGGAATATTGTTGAAAACGGCGTTAAACTCAACTGACTCATTTCATCGTGAAGAAGTAGGTCAGTGTAGAACTGCAGATATTGTTAAAATGAAAACGACAACGTTGTGACTGCGTTTTGTTTTTAACCATGACAATAACACACAATTATCCAGCACATTAAACTGAAGCAGACATTTATAAGCTGTTCATGTTAGAACATTTCACAATAATTAAGCTTAGATGTGTCAGTTTAATGCTTTTACACATATAATGTAAATATGGTACAATAAATATAATATCATATTATTGTATGACACTGGGGTGTATTTGGATGGTCACAATGAGTTAATCCCGCGGGATAATCTGTTCATGACATAATTTATGTATTTATTTATTTATTTATTTCATTTTTGTATATTTACACATATGAACATTACCTTTCTGGTGTCACCCGCCGTGATATTCCTGGAATATTACTAAAAGAGGCATAAAACCACACTCACTCACACACTCACTCACTCATACTAGATTCTACTCATGGAGATCCAATTAGAATTGATCTTCAGCAACAAATACTTGTCATAAGAGGCCACTAACAGGATCTGATTTTCTGACTCAGTGACTTGGTTGATGCATGTTATCGTATCCCAACTGTGTAGATCAATGTTCATGATGTCAATCACTGGATTGCCTGGTCAAGACCTAAGTATTTACAGACTGCAGTCATTCAGCTGGAATATTGCTGAGTGCTTGAGGGGTTCGTCCCGATTATGTTTCTAGGTTTGTGAGCACCATACCCGTGCTCGTGGGTTTCACCGAAGTGGTAAACGTCTGAGGCCTGCATCACTTCGGGATTTCCTCCCACATTAAGCTGACTCGCCGCGATATAACTGGAATACTGTTAAAAGCGGCGTTAAACCCAACTCACTCACTCACTGTGTGCTTGAACCATATTATTTTCCCCTCTGCCCACCCTGTAATGCAAAAGCCTTAAATGAAACAAGTCTACCCCGGATCTTCACGGGTCACCCTGTGTGAAGTATGCATCTTATTGCAGCATGTATATTAAGATTTGATGTAATAACCAGACCCACAGCAAGCATTTTTAGTAATTATGATGGTGTTACGTTTATACAAATGTTCATATTATAAAAGAACAGCATGTGATATACTGTAAATCGTGAAATTAATGCATCTCCAAAAGAATGCGAACGCCGGCCCGTTGTCAAAAATGATGCGACTCAATATGAATGCGACACCCCCCTCCTCTCAAGCATCGGTGGATATGTTATCTGAAGAAAATGTTCCCTGTCAGGTCTACAGGAGAATCCTCATCTTAATCCAATCTTACATTAATCCAATCACACACCAAATAGAACTGCTTATTAGCGCTGAGTACTGTACTTCCGCTACAACAATGCATGCGCGCTGGCTCGTGTCGGTCTTTGAGTGAGTGAGTGAGTGAGTGAGTGAAAGCTTAACGTCACATCGGCAATATTTCAGCCATATCGTGACGAAACAAAATTGACATTAACAATATATAGTAAGTAGTACAAAATTCTGCCGACGAAGGGCAGTATAAAAACTAGCATAGCACAGATTGTCGTAAAACTAGTTTGAATATGTTAAAAGAGGTAACTAACAGAATCATTTGACAACACATTATAAAAACGGGCTATAGATCGCCACTAACTGAAGGTTGATCACCGCGCTGGGGACCATGGGGACTTACAGTACTTTTGCTGTCGGTCTTTGAAAGTCACCGTGTTGCGTGGGTGGCGTCTGTCTGGACTTGCAGGTGTGAACAGTGATGACATAAGTGAGTAGAACTCTTTTCATGACCCCAGGAGTGACAATTCACAGGATGTAATTAGTGTTTGAATGACATTGTTTACAGTGATGTGGAAAACATAGTTGTTTGTTTTCAGCGTCAGCTTAGTTGGTATTTCTGCTGTCCAAAATGTCTTATAGTTGATAAACATGCGATGTTTAATAATGCGAGCCAAGACCACTCGCATTTTTCGCATTTAATTAACGCTCGCGTTAATTTGAAGATTTAAAGTTTATTAGGATCCAGGGAAAGTGCAGATACAAAATATTAGTTTCCGTTAAAGCTTTAAGATAAATACTAGCCTAAGGTAACATGAACCATCTCTCAGAAAAACTATTCAAAAAGACAAAAGTTGTATCTGCATAGTTTAATAGATTGGTTGAAACTTTTATTTAAGTTAACGACCAGTTAAGATCAGGTGAGAACAGGTCTTCAGCAACCCATGCATGTCGTGAAACTCAGCTTGTTGTCCGTGTCATCGTGTCTCATTTGCGTGGATCGATGTTCATGATGTCAATCACCGGATTGTCTGGTCCAGACTTGATTATTTACAGACCGCCGTCATTTTGCTGGAATATTGCTGAGTGCAGCGTTAAACAACAGACAAACAAACAAAATTTATGTAAATCTGTCATATATGTATCAGGCCTTGTACACAATCTATTATTTTAGGCAAGTCTAGCTACATCTGTCTTAAAAGCACTGCTTGGAGACTGCTCATTATTTCAGCAAATCTTAGCCGAGCTCATTAAACTGCTCGTCTAGATTAGTATATACTTATTCACACACATATCAGAGCTCGCTAAATACACTGTTTATTCCCAATGCAGGATATTTACCATCCCAAAACACACTCGCGTGATATATGTATATATACTAAGACCGTCAGTGTAACAAAGTGTAACACACCTCGATGTCGAACTTGCTCAATAATAATTGAAGACTGCAAATTTCAATTTTGCCAAGATAAACTATTTACTGTAAAAAAACAGCATGAAATGTCGCAGTTAAGATGTTATTCATGTTTTTTTAACATGTGCGGGATGTGGTGAGCATAACATTGGAGAAACTGGTATGCAACTGAAAGACTGAATCACTGTACAGATTCGCGATCCAAATGTGCGTTGTGTCATTGATGAATGCGGGAGTGGTCATTCCACTGTCATTCCGTTTTATAAATTGTCTAATAATGACAGTAGTATAGTCTAAGTCCGCAGAAGGCCATTTTGGTTGATCCGGTTGATCCAGGCGGATGCGAAGGTGATTGGCTGATCCAAGTCACGTGATCGGATAGGATGACTCATGCATCAACAGCGCGTCGGGAAAGGGCGGGGAATGAAAGGTGTGTGTTTATAAGACAGAAAAGAATTCGTAAGTAAACAAAAGTAAAGGGTATTCAATAGAGCTATGCGTTTGGCGTGCTGCCCTGAATAGACAAGCAGCCCAGTTTGAATTGAGCGCGCTTGACAACTCACGTGACCACGTCGTTTCAAATTGTTTATTGGTCGTAATGGTTTCGTTAATTTCAGGCGTTAGTAGAAATTACAATTAGTGTACAACTCACGTAGTCGTTTCAAATTGACCGCGCTCGCGAGAGCGTGCGACTTGGTTTGATGAATGCAGGGTGTGTGTTGAAAAGTACAAGTACCACAATAGAGACGGGTTATGTCAACACGATATACGCCGGGTCATGTAGTGACTATAACGCTGCAATGACTATAACGCTGAAGGCAGCCTATATAAACACCACCCCGAATATCAAAGCGTCATTTCAGTTTGAACAGTCAGCAAGGAAACATGGATTCATCAAACGCGTTAGTGTATTTCTTAATGACTTATTTCGTTTATATTAAATGAGAATACTATACAGCTTACACATGTTTCAGGCTAGGTGAAAAGGTATGTGTTAGTAAAAGTGATTATGAGTAACTCTCATTACCAACTTTATGAAGAAAACAATGTTGTATCTCTAGCGAGAATTGAAAGGAATGTTTTGTCTTTCAGACCGTTCACCTGTCCTGTGTGCGGAAACTTATATTCCTCTCAAAGAAATGTGAACCGCCACAGGTCTGTTCACGAAGGGCAGCGCTTTGCTTGCGAGAAATGCTCCAGAAGTTTTGCATCAAATCAAAAACTTAACAAGCACAAGTGCGCTGCCTGCTCGCAACACCGGCTTTCGGAATACCGTTGTAGCGTAAGTTTATTTTCGTGAATGTAAGGGTAATTTCATTAGATTTAAGCGAATATGTGTGGGACTTTTATTTATCTTCCTATGCTTTTAAAAGGTAATTTCATTTAAACACATGTGGTTCATTCTATGTTGAAAACAAGGACATCGTGTTATGTTAGTACGAGTATCGTTACTAAACTCGTACAGTCCCTTTAAGAACACTGCTTTATTTCCACATACAGAAATGCCCCGAGGTGCTCCCCTCTCCCCGTGACTTGGCCGTGCATTTTCGACGGTGTCATTCTAGCGGTAAGTTGAATGTTCATAATGCCATCTGAAGTAAAAGTGTGAAAGACATGGGTTATTGTATTGAAAACATCACATTCGTGACTTCGAGCTTATCATTTCACTCGAATAAAATATGCTCAGATGCTATAGATTGAACATATCTTTTTTCTCCTCAGGCGCAACACAGACGTCGCGTCATGACGCACGGCCGTCTACCTCTAGAGCAGTACCGGTTAGTGGAGGTGAGTTCTATTTTGTATCTATCTATCACTTCATTCATCCATGTACGAGTGTTAGTATTAAGGAGGTTCATACCGCATAGGGTTTCACTATATGTGTGTCGTGTGTTTGTAGATAGCATTGACTGGGATGTTTTCAGTAAACTGTTTTGTGTTTCAGGGACAACCTCAACAAACCAGCCTACACCGTCCACCTCCTCGGGGCAGGTTGCAAGGGCGGGAAACTCTCGTGCTAGTGGAGGTAGATATTGAATAGTATTTTATAAGCTATGGGTTTTATCTAGCCCTGAATTATATGTATTAATTCAATCCGTCATGGTGTTCATATGTATTTGCTTTGGAAGTATTGTACAATATGTTAGTCATGATATTTATTTGAAGCATAAGAGCTCGTAGTGAGTGAGTGAACGATGCTGTTATAGGCGAGCCCAGTATTCATACATTAAATTTTATTCTATCACCAGCTCCCTCATCGTCCCGCATCGCAGCATCGGATGGTTGTACTACCTGCCGGACGTGTCATAGGCGTTTCGAGGATCGGTTGTCTCTCTACCGTCATCAGATGATAGAGGGACACCGTGTCCTACCATCGCAGTCCGGCGGGAGTATGGATACCGATGCTGTTGGTAGTGAGCTCCAACCACGCCCATGGGGAGAAGGTCCCGCCCCGTGGGTAGAGGAGAGCACTGGCGAGGTGACGGAGCCCGGACTCCAGGAAGCCTATCACCTGGACGCTCCCTTCATCCTCACACGGGACCAACTCGGGGAGGTGTTTTCTACCTACAACCTCCCCGTCAGCAACAACTTTTCGATAGGTGAGTTGATGGAACGCGCTAGGGAAATCTATCAATCGTTAAGTTATAGTTTTAGGTTCAATCTAGCGTTCAGTGTCATCCTGCGTCACGTGGAGACGGGACGCTATCGCTATTTCCAACCTTACGCTGTCGATCCGCTCTTTACTACTCCTCTCTATATCACCGAGCTGAGGGATCTCGAACGGTTGCGTCAGAGACTGGAAAGTTTAGATGTGATGTCTTATCTATTGAAACAACGCCCCGATACCAAATGGAAACCCGTGTAATCACGAATGTACAGTTTTATGCGTACAGAATGAATTTTTCTTTAGGCCATCCCCCTCTTGCTGTCCCCGATTATCTGAAACACCACAAAGCTATTATAGCATTAGATTATAACAGAATAACTAAGAAACATTATGATGATCACCTTTGCGCTTTCCGGTGTCTGGATCTGCATCGAGATCCATCCGCTCGACGATCACTAGAAAAACCTACCAAAGCTCTTTACTACCAGTGGGTCGCATACTCTCGGGACCATCATCTCCAGTCTTTGTATCAAGTCCGTCCCGAAGAGTACGCGGGTCTCCCCCCTTCTCTCCTGTGTCACTTTGAAGCCTGTTTCCGTGTGAATGTGAGCGTGTTCACTCTAGACGTGACGGGGATAGCTCAACCCGTGTATAAATCTAGAGGGTTGTATCAGGAACACATGTACTTAAGTCAATTCGAAAATCACCTATCCCTCATTACCAATATGAACATCTATTGTAAACGCTACCAGTGTCCCACGTGCAAACGCCTCTTCCGGCGCCAAAACAACTGCAACGTACACCAACGTCGTTGCACGGGTCAAACGACTTTGCGGTTCCCGGGTGGTTTCCACCACACCCCAAAGACCCTGTTTGACGAGCTGGAAGAGTTTGATTTCGTCGTCGACCCTAGAGACAGATATTTCCCGTGGTTCGTGGTGTTCGATTTTGAGTGTTTTTTGAAAAACGGTGAATACCGGAACCTAGAAACTGAGATGGACGCAAGAACACCACCCATCAGTAGTATAGTCTAAGTCTGCAGAAGGCCATTTTGGTTGATCCGGTTGATCCAGGCGGATGCGAAGGTGATTGGCTGATCCAAGTCACGTGATCGGATAGGATGACTCATGCATCAACAGCGCGTCGGGAAAGGGCGGGGAATGAAAGGTGTGTGTTTATAAGACAGAAAAGAATTCGTAAGTAAACAAAAGTAAAGGGTATTCAATAGAGCTATGCGTATGGCGTGCTGCCCTGAATAGACAAGCAGCCCAGTTTGAATTGAGCGCGCTTGACAACTCACGTGACCACGTCGTTTCAAATTGTTTATTGGTCGTAATGGTTTTCGTTAATTTCAGGCGTTAGTAGAAATTACAATTAGTGTACAACTCACGTAGTCGTTTCAAATTGACCGCGCTCGCGAGAGCGTGCGACTTGGTTTGATGAATGCAGGGTGTGTGTTGAAAAGTACAAGTACCACAATAGAGACGGGTTATGTCAACACGATATACGCCGGGTAATGTAGGAATTAAAAAAATGTACGTCTATCTGGATCAAATTCATCTTATACGGTCTACAAGTTGTACATCACGAACGTTAGACAACCCGTATAGAAAAAAAATATAGACAAAATAGAAAAGACTACGCAATCAGCAAGCTAGCGGTGTCGTTTAATTACGTTTAGCGCGCAACAACGAGGTAGTCACGTCACCCTGCATTGACTTTAACCCTGAAGGCAGCCTATATAAACACCACCCCGAATATCAGAGCGTCATTTCAGTTTGAACAGTCAGCAAGGAAACATGGATTCATCAAACGCGTAAGTGTATTTCTTAATGACTTATTTCGTTTATATTAAATGAGAATACTATACAGCTTACACATGTTTCAGGCTAGGTGAAAAGGTATGTGTTAGTAAAAGTGATTATGAGTAACTCTCATTACCAACTTTATGAAGAAAACAATGTTGTATCTCTAGCGAGAATTGAAAGGAATGTTTTGTCTTTCAGACCGTTCACCTGTCCTGTGTGCGGAAACTTATATTCCTCTCAAAGGAATGTGAACCGCCACAGGAGGTCTGTTCACGAAGGGCAGCGCTTTGCTTGCGAGAAATGCTCCAGAAGTTTTGCATCAAATCAAAAACTTAACAAGCACAAGTGCGCTGCCTGCTCGCAACACCGGCTTTCGGAATACCGTTGTAGCGTAAGTTTATTTTCGTGAATGTAAGGGTAATTTCATTAGATTTAACCAAATATGTGTGGGACTTTTATTTATCTTCCTATGCTTTTAAAAGGTAATTTCATTTAAACACATGTGGTTCATTCTATGTTGAAAACAAGGACATCGTGTTATGTTAGTACGAGTATCGTTACTAAACTCGTACAGTCCCTTTAAGAACACTGCTTTATTTCTACATACAGAAATGCCCCAAGGTGCTCCCCTCTCCCCGTGACTTGGCCGTGCATTTTCGACGGTGTCATTCTAGCGGTAAGTTGAATGTTCATAATGCCATTTGAAATAAAAGTGTGAAAGTCATGGGTTATTGTATTGAAGGCACTTGTGAAGAGCAACCTCCTCGTGGTGAGTGCTGGGTAGCGCTAATAGCTCTTCCCCCGTGTGGAACCGGGGTAGAATATTTCCACAGCACCCCATTGCTGGTCGTAAGAGGCGACCAAAGTGGGCAGCCCGTTTGCCGTGGGTTGCGTCCCTGTGTCGGCGGAGGACGGGAGTCTGGTAGTTGAGGGCACTGGTTCCTGGAACTGTGTTCCTTTGCCCAACACACTACTTCGACCCTTACTTCGCCTAGACGGGTGGTAAGATGGGCCCGGTCTTATCAATCGGCTGGTCATGCCAGGCCCTGTGCGTAATATTGTATATGCACACGTGTGTTGTATTTTAATGTATATTTTGGCCTTGGCCGTCCATAACTTGTGTGTATTCTAACTTTTGGATTGAATACATTGCCTAGAGTCTTACGCCAGAAGGCGGTGGCTCATGGGCCAATCTGGTACTTTCGACCTCTGAGTTCTGTATGTCTTCAATTTCTTGTCATGGGCCGGACCAGCCTGGCACTTTATTTGTTCGACAAATGCAGCTATTCATGTTGTTTTTACTGGAGTATACCACCTCTGTATCCCTGATGTTTGCATGTTGGAGATCCGGTGCAGGAAAACATCGCTCTTTGTAGCACTCCATGGTGGGTGGGGAGCAGGGGTGCTGAATCAATTACTTTCATTATGGCACACAATCATTCTGGTTCAAACCGCACTGACAAGAAGAGACGTCTGGAAGCTGAGATTTTCTCATCTGACGACGATGCTTCTATTTCACGAACTTCAAATTCTTGGGCTCGGTTTATCGTAGTGGAATCACATAATCAACTACCTTTGAAAATCAATCCCTTTGCAATATCTAAAGCCATTAAAGGTATCTGTGGTGAGGTGAAGAATGTTTCACGGCTCCGGAGCGGCTCTCTTTTGGTGGAGTGTGCACGGAGACAGCAGGCTATTAATCTTTTAAAATGTACTAGCTTTGCTAACACAGAAGTTGTTGTTTCTGAACACAGAACGTTGAATTCGAGTCGAGGGATCATCCGCGACAGAGCTCGTTGCCTGGCTGAAATGTCAGAAGATGACATTTTGGAAGAACTTAAATCACAGAATGTCACATCAGTGAAACGTTTCAATAGAAAAGATGGTGAAAAATTCGTTCCAACAAATACTTATTTGTTCTCCTTTTCTCTTTCCACAATTCCACAATCTATTAAGGCGGGCTATTTTAACATCGGAGTGGAGGTGTATGTCCCCAATCCGCTCCGATGTTACAAATGTCAGAAGTTTGGGCACGGCTCCAAATCATGTGATCGTCCAACTGTTTGCCACCGTTGTGGTGGAAATCATGATGGTACAGGCTGTACAGCAGACCTGAAATGTACAAATTGTAAGGGTGAACATGTAGCATCATCTAAATCCTGTCCTTTTTGGACACGTGAAAAAGACATTTTGACAATCAAATGTCAAAACAACATCAGTTACTTTGATGCCAAAAAACTCTTTGATAGCCGGACACCTTCATCCAAACAATCTTATGCTGATGCTGCTGCTGCTGCTGCTGCTGCTGCTGCTGCTGCTGCTGTCTCTCGCCCTTCAACACGTAGATCTATAGAATGTCAGACGGACTTGACGTGGACACATTCTGAACACCCGCTGCCTCTGACTACATCATGTGACAGTCAAACAACTCATTCTGTCAGCCCAGGTGAAATGTCTCCAGATTCTATCATTGTGACTCAGGTTGTGGCCCCATCTACACCCACTCCTGATATACCAGCTACCAACAAACCATCAACTGAAATGCCCAAAAAACAAAAGAAGAAACAAAACAAGAAAATTTCTACTAAGATCCCTACTCTCACTGAAACATCTGTAGATGTTCACAATTACTTTGAGCCTCTTGAGATGGATGTCACCCCATCTTCACACCACAGCAGTGGTGACTCCTCTTCACGTTTACGTGAACGATCTCCGGTAGAACCACCATGAATCATTCGAAACTAATTCAATGGAATTGCCGAGGACTTAGGCACAATTTTAACGAACTGCAATTATTATCAACGGATATTTGTCCATCAGCAATTTCTTTACAAGAAACGTACCTTAAAACAACCGACAAATTTGATTTAAGGCAGTATAGTTCGTATCATTCCTTCTCTCCTCCGGGAGATAAAGCTACTGGAGGAGCTTCTATTTTGGTGCGGCGGGGCGTTGTTCACAGTCCTGTTCCGCTTGACACAAATATGCAAGCTGTTGCAGTTAGACTTACACTGCATATTGCCTTCACACTTTGCTCCTTATACATTCCTCCATCTTCAAATCTTCAGCGTAATGATCTCCAAAAACTGTACGACCAGCTCCCAAAGCCCTGTGTCATCATGGGTGATCTAAATGGGCATAATCCTTTATGGGGAGGTTCTATCATTAATCCAAAGGGTAAAGTCATCGAGGATTTTGTTTCTGATAATGACCTCTGCATCTTTAACGATGACTCGGACACCTACTTACACCCTGCAACTGGTACGTATTCATCATTAGATCTGTCTTTGACGGATTCAGTTTTGTTGAATGAATTCTCATGGTCCGTCCATGATGACCTATGTGGGAGTGACCATTTCCCCACGGTGCTTAAACCCATTAATCCCGTTGATGATCCACCTTCACCTCGATGGAATTTTGTGAAGGCTGATTGGCTTTTATTTCAATCTT